CATTTTCGATTAATCCAAAATGATGAAGTAAAATCATTGAGTAATGGATGAGAAGTAATATTAAAATTCCCATGAATAATATCAGTATATAGCGAAAAAGAAAACACGTGTAGTATATTCTAGACAATATAACAAGGAAAATTCTTATTAAGAATAAAGTTTTCAAATACAAATCTTCATGTTTTATCAATTTCTCGATATGACATTACAAAGTAAGTTCCAATTAATTTGATGTATTTATTAAATAATTTCTTCTTTTTTAGAAGAACTTATTGATACAAAAAAGTAATTAACAAAATATATTCTTGAATTTAATTTTATCTTTTTTCTTTATACCGTTTGTAGCTGTATTGAAAATTTATCAAATGGATTCTTCTATCAAATATTTGATTATCTTGATGGTTATGATATTTATAAAGCATTTTCAAATCTTAATAATCGTTTTGAAAATCTTCTTATTGATCCTTCATTTCTTATGAAAATTCAAATTTCTTCCACATCTGAAATTGATTATCATTATAAACAATTTATTATTTTAAACAAACATCATATTCTTTCATTTCATTTTAATAATGAATCAATTCAGAACGAAATTATGAAACCATGTATTATTGAATCATTCGATCATCTTGAATCAATTGTTCTTAATCCAATCTTAACATGGAAATTATTTGTACTTTTTTTTTATTTAGAATCTTTACCTCGTTTATCTTCATTAACTATTTATCTTAATGATTATCATGATGATCTTCGTGATATTTTTCATCTTATTTTTTGTCTTCCTGTATTAAAATATCTCAAATTTAAACTATTATCTTCTAATATACTTAATATAGACACAAGAATGCCTTTAAATCAACCATTTTCTTCAATTAAATATTTGGTTATTAATGCTGGTTGTGCTCATAATCAACTTATTAACCTATTATTATATATACCTCAACTTTCTCATTTATCTTGTGATTATTTAATCAAATCAAATAATAATATTAAATCTGAAATGATGATAAAATTAAATGATTTAATACATTTAACTGTTGTTATTAATGATATAGATTTTAATGAATTTGAAGAATTTTTATTGAAGTTATGTTCTCAATTGCAAATTTTAAATGTTAAGATTCATTCTTCTGATAAAAGTTATTTAAATGCTAATCGATGGGAACAATTAATTTCACAAAAGATGACTTCACTAAATAAATTCTTCTTTTCTTATACTGATATTATTCATGGGAATTTTAATATTACTTCTCATCCATTACTCAATGATTTTACTTCATCATTTTGGATTAATCGAAAATGGATTTTCAAATTAAATCACATAATTGAAATGCAAGATATGCTGTCTGTTAAATATTGAGATCTTAATTTTTGTTCATTAATATCCTAGATGTACATTAGCATTTCNCCAGCACATGTGTGAACAGTCATTGCTAAGATATCTGCCATTTTTATAAGAGAATGCATCCTAATTTCCTCCCATATACTTCGGTACTCATTTTAGATTGTATTTCGCAAAAGAATCAGGTTTGGTATTCAACAGTTGTAAGATTCTTGCCAAATTAGGAGTTTTCTCGAATTGTAAATCGAGATTCTGTCGACTAGATTCTGATATTGAAAATATGGAAAAAAATTGATAGATTTATCAGTAAAAATAATAATTTGAAAAGAATAGAGTCAACTAAACGAACGTGGGATATAGCTAATATATTTTCTTCACTTTGTAGTCATTCTTTTCTTCTCATCAATATACTTTCTTTCTTGTTCTTCAAGATAGTTATGTTTTTGCATTCATTTATTCTTTTGATACGCTTGGAAGCACCAAGCTCATAATCTTTATAATTATATTGGTGAGAAATTGTGAAACATTGCGTTCATGATACTCCTTGTAACTTTTAAAATATCTTCATTTTTTTTGAATACAGTGTATGCACTTTTCATGTCTACATCTATCAATATAATTAATAAAAAATAGATTAAAAAATGTTTATTCTGTGTATTTCATAATAGCAATTGCAGATCTTTTTCATGTTAGATGGTTTCTGACTGCTGGTGGTGACTCTTGATTGTAGAAATCAACACTAGTTAGTTGAATGATTGATAAAATACGCTTTACTTAAATAGCGATTAGTTTGATTTTATAAGACATGTTTTTGTCACACAGAACAATGAATCATTTAATTATAGCTTGAACACAAATGACTAAGATACAGAGAAAGTTTTGAATGGTTTTCGTATACATTTTCAAGAATTATGTTTGTTAGTTGCAACTGAAATAATGCACACGTCACAACTATATAGAAACTAAGTTATAATACTCTTAAATTGTGTCATGATTACCGATATAGATATGATACGTGGCAGTATGATTTTTGCTAAGCAAAGAATCATTGTGTGACGCAGAAGTTAGGTCGACGTGGATGCAAGTCCATGTGTTCTCTAGAACGACATCCAAATTCTATCATCTAACGGCCGTTATTGCCTATTCGGTTTATTCTACGTTCTATTTCAGCAAGCAATTCTAATTTGGAAAGTGTTTTATTTTTGAAAATAAGGCAATTGTCTAATATTTTTTGCAATACATTTTAGCAAATTTAATAGCTGCAGAAGTACAAATGCATTGAAACACGTCATTGTCACACGAACACTTACATACATCTGTTATCTCTATAAGAATTGCTTACTCAAAGTCATGCAAACAGTAGATATAACTACATTCAAAAAATGATCTGCGTAATAAAATATCTATCTTCATGTATTATTCAGTTTGAAGCCGATTGTTGCCAAAAGCTTCACTATCAATAGCGCTTAGCTTGTTGATCAGCATTATTTTTATTGATGGTAATGAGAAAAATGCAGAAGACTCATTGCAACACAAGTGAGAAGCAAATCAGATATTTTTAACATCGATACCAACCTAGTAACAACGAACGGCCTCTTTATGTACTTTTAGACGTCAATTATCTAGTCGTGCGAAGAAAACGGGTTAAAACAGATTGAAGTTCTTCTATTAAATCATGAGTGCATTGATTTTATCAGCAACAGTATGGATGAGATGAGAAAAGCTCGATTTACTTTGAAATGATCAATGCAAACAAATTATCGGCAACAAATGCATAGAACACGAGCGAACCATTTGTATAAGTCAATATTACAAACTCGTAATGAGGCCATGACGACTGTAAAGGAAAGATAAATGTTTTTTCCGTCATATATGTGTCATAGAGAATAGAACAATAATACCATCTTAGTACATTTCTAGAATCGAACCATTATTCTTCCCTTTTTTTTTTATCTTGTTAACTCATAATGACATACGTAAACAATAGACTGATCGTTTTTTTCAACTTTTTTTTCTTGGAAAAATACTTCCACGTTCTTTTTATATGCCTTCTGTTTGTTGTTAAGTCATACGTGTATATTTTTTCAGCGTCTTTCTATAGATAAAAACATAATGTCATGTCTTACTGACTTATGATGGAAGTTAAATGAGTCATGGCTATAGGGTTTTTCCTATCGATTTCTTTTTTGGGGGGATATAAATATGTATCATTTGTGCTTGTTTACAATTCATTCATCGATTCGTACTGATCTATTCACTACAAATCTATACATTCGAAAATCTTACGATATTACTACCGGTACAGTTTTTTTTTATTCGATGAGAATTAACTGTTACATGTCTCTTTAACTAGCGAGTCATCTCTTGTCGAATTTCGTTTCAAATACGTAGTACTCTTGATTTCAAAACAAATATCTTATAGAATAAGCTATTGTCCGTGAGAAATTGAAAAACATAATTTCAAGTTGATGTAAACTATCCAATAACCAGAAGATAAACTGCGCTTCTTTTTCTCTTTCAATATTTCATATTCCTGCTGGATTAGTAGGTACATATTTGAATACAATCGCATGTTTCCAGTATATAGTGAAAAAAAAAGATGGTTTTCCTATAAAATTACGTAAAAAATGTGGATCATTATATTGAATTACACAAGAATTCACTCAAACTACAGAAAAAAAAGTTAGTTCAGATTTTCACTCCATGATATTATAAGTTATTCGCCTTTAAAACTCACTAATCAAAAGATAATCATATGTATATTGGAGATCTGTATCGCATTTTGTTTGATTATAGATCTCATAATCTCCAAAAACAAAAATTGCGAAATAATAGTGTCGGAGACACCTTGCAGAATCTTGAGCACAAATTAGGATTTTCTCTTTTCTCGTCATAGTTAATTCTACGATAGATAGTGGCTTGTCAATGCCAATTATTTTTCTTGCTTCAAGGATGGTGATCTTGTGTAAGGATCTATGTCCATATAGCACTGCACAAGCACCTTATCACTGCTCAGTTCTATTCATCACTCATCATGTCGATTCCTTCTATTTAGCATTACTTGTAAAAATATATTCCAGTGTAAGAAATAATTTATTCTAGAATGTTTTTGAAGATTTTCAGACGAGACCTTTGTTTTAGGAACTGTGGAATTTGGAACGAATTTTTCATTTTAAAAGTTATCATTTTCAGATATCGGATGAATAAGCTATGAGTTTTATATATTGAGTCAGAGAGAACGAGTTTCTAAACTTACATGTTTTGAAACGTTTTATTTTGAGGAAGCCATCAATTAAAAAATCTACTTATGATTTTCTTCTTCTAGAGAAAAATTGCTCTCTCATAAAGTTATAATCATATAGTGCAAAATGGTCACGATCACGTTCAATGAATTCCAGAAAACATTAACAGCCTGCGGATATGCATTGCCAGCTAATATTCATGGAAAGTACAATGGTTTGATTAATGCCATACCGGCAGCAAATATTATCACTAGAGTAGAGTTAGCAATGTTCTTGGCTAACATCTACCATGAGAGTGGAGGTCTCATGCACATAGAGGAGATTAATCCTGCAGATAATTACGAAGGAGGTCAAAGGTACCGTGGACGAGGATACATTCAGTTGACTCACCGAAGCAACTATAGAAATGCGTCATTAGATCTATACGATGACGAACGCTTGGTTGATAATCCTGACTTGGTTGCGCAGGATGAAAATGTAGCTTGGGCTACGACTGCTTGGTTCTGGAGGAGAAATGTACGTATTAGTTTATTTTACTTGAAATTGAATCTACCTTATCAATTTCTTTTGTCTTGTGTAGGTTCATCGAGCACACAATATGACTTTCGAAGGTACTATTAACGCAATCAATCCGATTGACACGCTGGCACAGACACATCATCGTCAACAGTTGTACGCAGCAATACGAAACGTATTGCAAATATGAAGCAGGATTTAGCATCAAGACTTGCAATAAAAATCTAAAACAAATGCTTATATAAATTTTGCTGATGCAACCAAAGTGTATATTTACAACTTATTTTCATTAGCAAAGTGTTTGAATATCGAATGTTTTATAATCGAGAAAATAACATATGATGCTTGTATTTTTTTAAATAAAAAATATTTAAAAAAAAGAACCTATACAAGAAACATCAACAAGTTGAAAATCATTGCTTGTCTATGTTGTATCAAAACTGAAACTACTCAGTTCCGTATTTTTCATGTTGAAATCTAAACAAGTGATGTATGTAAAGAGATGAAGAAAAAGAAGAAGTTATATTTAATTAAAGATGAAATTGACCGATAGATATCACGATTTGCTATCAGGGATACATAATGTTGAATTTAATACTATATACCATTATTCAAGTACCAATATCAAAGTGTAAATTTCTTGAGAAAAGTGTACGACGTACATTCTTCTGAACAACTTGTAAAACACCGTGTAAATTAGAAAAAAAAGCAGATGTTCTATACATTTCGTTTTTGCTTGGTACGCCTGCTATTGCAGCCTTTGTTTAGGGTTGTCCTGTATTTTGTTCTAATGATACTTATCATGAAAACTGTCCTTCCTCTCGCTCCCCCGCTCCCTCTCAGAGGGTATGAGATGTGAAAGTACTTGTCGTTTTTTCACACACTCATACTGAAAAATTTTATTTAGTTCAATTATCTTTTACAAATACATTTATAATAGATAACGATTATAACACTTAGGAGGAAAATTCATATATTGTGTAACTGAAGAAAAAGATTTCTTTTACAATAAAGTTACATTTCTAAGAAACCAAACACGAAAATAAAACATTAAAGTTTCTTACACCAAATACAACGAAAAATTAGCATCCTATAGTGAAGCCGTGTTGTAAATTGGAAATTAATAAAGGCATAATTCTTTTCAGAAATAATTCTAGTCAATTTTTTATGAGGGTGTGGATGTGTGTGTTTCGGTCTGAGTGTAAAGAAGATGTATGCACAGATCTATACCCACACCCACCCTAGGCTCAGAAATTTTAT